ATAGGCATGTGGCACCACGCCTGGCTAATGTTTATATTTTTAGTAGAGGTGGGGTTGCACCATGTTGGTCAGGCTGGTCTGAAACTCCTGACCTCATGATCCACCTGCCTCGGCCCCCCAAAGTGCAGGGATTACAGGCGTGATCCACAGCACCCGGCCTCAACTGGATTACATTCCAATAGAATGGAATCCTTTATTACTAAAGGAATGCTCAACTCAAGTGGACACAGATACCTCATTTTGACTTCATTAGCTATGGCACTGAGGCACAACTTTTTGAAACTACACAGCTAAGCTGTCCGAGCTTTAAATACTGGAGAAGTTTATCAGGATACACACCTAAGTGGTTTAGGGGTGTATTTCGAAAAAGTTGCGTGCTCTCCACATAAAAAGCTACTTTTGTTGTTACTTTTGGTCCACAGGAGAAATGGGAGTCCTTTTCAGACACCATGGGAGACAAATGAGTCCCTCAGAGTCCGCTTGTCTGCCTTGGAGGGTGCAATGAGGGTGTGAAGCGCTTTGGGAGGTGTCGAGACACACAGGTAGGCTTGCTACAGAGCAGAGCTTCACGCTTGGGGTGTGCTCCTTGTCATCATGAGCCATGTCTGAACGAATTAATCACGTTTCATAGGCAAGCATGTTCTCCTTTTGACTGTGCTGTTGTTTTGAATCAGAGCAGCCTCAACAATGCTTTAACTTGATAGCCATGAATAATTTCATTCTACATAATAACATGCGGGCTTTAGGAGGAGGCAGCGTTGGATAAGAAGGAGGGAGAATGGACGTGTGAAATAGGGAAAGGTGATTCTTCCTTTGGAGCATGGATGGGTTCAAAGCCCACTTCATACTACTATTTGGCTGTACACTACCAGTTGTGTGTGAAGCCTGTGTGTGTGTGGGGCGGGGGTTGTCTGTGTTTCTGTCTCCAGACCTGAGCAGCAGATGCTTCTTCCTGTGGTAGCATGTTACTCAGAACCTTGGATAACCCCCAGGCCTCCTAAAAACATAATACATGTATATTTTAAGACATTTATCTTGATGACTGGTGAGAGGGTGGTGATTGAAATCAGCTGATTTCCCACTTACCACAGAGAACATGCTTGCATATGAAATGTGATTAATTCATTCAGACATGGCTCATGATGACAAGGACCACACCCCCAGGGTGAAGCTCTGCTCTGTAGCAAGCCTACATGTGTGTCTGGATACCTCGGAAAGTGCTTCACGCCCTCATTACACCCTCAGAGGCAGACAAGAGGACTCCAAAGTCTCATGTGTCTCCCATGCTGTCTGAAAAGGACTCCCACTTTTCCTGGGGACCAAAAGTAACAACAAAAGTAGTTTTTTATTTGGAGAGCACACGACTTTTTCAAAATACACAGCTAAAATGGTCCCTGCTTTAAATACTTTAGCACTTAAATCAGGGACCGTTTTTGGTGTGTATTCTTAAAAACTTGTCTAGCACTTAAAGCTTGGACAGCTTTAGCTGTGTATTTTCAAAAAGTTGTCTCTCAGTGCCATAGCTAATGAAGTCAAAATGAGGTATCTGTGTCCACTTGAGCATTCTTTTAGTAATAAAGGATTCCGTTCTACTGGAATTCTTTAGAACGGATTCTCTTTCTTGTCAATCCACTGTCAATTTTCTCTGTTAATTTCTAGAAGAGGTAACAGAGTTATTCCAAAACCATAGGTGTATGAAAGTCCAGATTGACAAGTATACTCTACAAACCAGGCACTGAGCTGGAAAAGGGATCCTTTCCCAGTGGGCCTTAAGGCCCACAGAAATCCCTGTGCAGAAATCGAGAAACACAGACAGAAGTTTACCCGCCGGAGGCTTCTCACTTGAAAGTGAGTGGCAGACTGACTGGCACAGGGCTGGAAATCAAATCCAAATCTTCAGACCTCTAATTTCAGAGGGTGCACTGCCTCCCCCAGGCCCAATGTGACAGTTCAATGGCTTCACAAGAGCTTTAACTGATTGAAATCAACATCAAAAGACATTAGATTCCATCGGCACCGTCTTTGGTCCCTTGTCTCTAATGAGAATTTGCCCAGTTCAAATTTCAACATTGGGTCTAACCTGTGATATCTTGCCTTTCCACCAGAAACTCTTGAATAGGCTTGATTAACTTAGGAGCTCCTGCTACAAAGTAAGAGTCAAGAACCCTCTTGAGCAAAGCTGAGCATAGGTGGGCTTTGAACCCATCTATGCTGCATAGGAAGAGACACCTTTCCCTAATTCACACGTCCATTCTCCCTCTTTCTTATCCAATGCTGGCTCTTCCTCAAGCCCACACGTTATTAAGTAGAAGGAAATTACTCATGGCTATCCAGTGAAAGCATGGACGAGGCTGCGCGGATTCAAAACAACAGCCCAGTCAGACGAAGCCCATGCTTGCATAGGAAATATGATTCATTCGATAAGACATGGCTCATGATGACAAGGAGCACACCCCAAGGGTCGAGCTCTGCTCCGTAGCAAGCCTACCTGTTTGTCTGGACACCTCCCAAAGTGCTTCACGCCCTCATTGCACCCTCAGAGGCTGACAAGAGGACTCCGAAGGACTCATGTGTCTCCCATGCTGTCTGAAAAGGACTCCCATTTCTCCTGGGGACCAAAAGTAACAACAAAAGTAGCTTTTTATTTGGAGAGCACACAGCTTTTTCAAAATACACAGCTAAAACAGTCTCTCTATGAGGCTAGATAGAGACTCAGCAGAGATCAAAAAATGAAGGTGTTCCCTAAAAGTTTTAGTAGGTGTTACCCTCTCCCTAGACCTCTTCTTTATGACCTGGGGTATGGATTGTTCTTAAAATGGCATTTGATGGGGATTGTGAAGCTAAAAAGATAAGTAATTATTATCCTACACTCCAACTCAGGAAAGGAAATCTCAGACACCAAGTTGCAGTCATGGGAGTTGTCACTGGACCTAGCTTAAGAACCATTTAAATTATTCAGTGCCCCCACCCAATCACCCTTGCCCAGGAGAGAAGGCCATGGTGAAACTGATCTCAGAGGTGGCAAGACGACTGTGTCCATAGCTCTCCCATTACCTTGGCTCCACACAGGCTTTGCGATCCATTTTTAATTGGTTTCTCCACCTCCCTCTGCCTTTCCAGGCCCTTGGCCACTCCACTCACCTGGCGATAACCCCCTCTAACAACCCTGATGTCCTGAACTCCACCAGCATTACTCCCACCAAACCTCAACCAAAGGCTAATTAGAGACTATTCATTTATGCAGCCAAAAGACACCTACTTAGAACCTAGAATGTGTTAGACCCTTGGACATGAGAATTTTAGAAAATCCAACTCCCGAAGCTCATGGGCAGATCACTATAAAATTGCACCAAACAGGAGGATAGGAAAGGCTCAGAGAGATCAGAAAGACTCACTCAGAAGGAGGAACCAGGGAAGTCCTGTCCAGGATTCTCTGGGAATCTCCCATTGTGAAAATAGATCTTTCTTCCTCCATATATGTTTCTGAAGTAGGATGCAGAAGTCAAGCTCTGTCCCTTCTTTCTCAGAGGAGGTTGTGAGACTTGAAGTTCAGAAAAGCTTACTCTGCCTGCAAGGAGTGCTGCCTACAGAGCTCAGGAGGACCCTCCCTCACTGTCTGCAGCACACAAAAGACTTTACCCTCAACCACTGTCTTTCTAAGCTTTCTTCCCTGACCACAGCCATCCCCAGCTACTTTATCTTCCAGACTTTCCTTTCAGAAGAGATCATCGGGGGCCATGAGGCCGAGCCCCACTCCCACCCCTACATGGCCTTTGTTCAATTTCTGGATAAAAAGAGTAAGAAGAGATGTGGTGGCATCCTAGTGAGGAAGGACTTTGTGATGACAGCTGCTCACTTCTGGGGAAGGTGAGGAGCAGCACCAGCTCACTTCCTGAGCCCCCTACAAGGACCCTTGCTCTCTCCTGGTGACTGCGGCCCAGGAGAGCTTCCAGAGTTCCTCGTAACACAAGCCCATGAAAACTCATCGGAGAAGCCACCTGGAAGTAGGACTAGAATGATGAAAGGCTGAGAAATAGGACAGGCTCAGAGGGTCAGAGGTCAAAGCAAGTGGCATGGTTTCATACACTGGTCAAATAAAGCAGTGGTGAAGGTTGAATGCATGCATTAAGGGTCAAAATGCAAACTTGAGCAATTTCATATTTCCTGAAGGTAAGAGAAAGCCCCCAGAATCCCTACTCTTCATGTCTTTGTGAAGCACAGGGCACAGTCACTCCACCCTGGAGCCCTTTTGTCCCCTCAACTTCCCCTCAGCTGCAGCCATGCCCTGCCCCAGCTGTCACCTGTTCTTACTGCTCCTAGGCTGTATCCCCTATGACTCTACCCCCATTCTCACCCTGCTCTCTGTGCAGCTCCATAAATGTCACCTTGGGGGCCCATAATATCAAGGAACAGGAGAGGGCCCAGCAGTTCATCCCTGTGAGAAGAGCTATCCCCCACCCAGCCTATAATCCTGAGAACTTCTCCAGCGACATCATGCTACTGCAGGTGAGGCACACTCCTGTCAGTCACTCTTGCTTTTCTTGGTCCAGTTGGTTCCACTCCCACTATGATCCCAGCTCTTCCCTCATTTCCATCCTGGCCTCTTGACCTGTTCCTGTGCCTCAGAGGAGATGAAAGATGGTGCAGCCCCATCACTGTGTTGGGGTCCTGAAGGCCATTGCCTGACCTGGACTTTCTTGCTTGTTTCCCTCCAGCTGGAGAGAAAAGCCAAGCAGACCCCAGCTGTGCAGCCCCTCAGGCTACCCAGCAGCAAGGCCCAGGTGAAACCAGGGCAGGTGTGCAGTGTGGCTGGCTGGGGCCATGTCTCAGTGGGCACATTAGCAACCACTGCAGGAAGCGTTGCTGACAGTGCAGAAGGACCAGGAATGTGAATCTGTCTTCCATGACGATTACAGCAGAGCCACCGAGATTTGTGTGGGGGATCCGAATATGACAAAGACTGGTTTCAAGGTTGGGCTTCCAGCCTCTACCCAGAAGGACCACAGGGAGAGAGGAATTTGAGGGAATTTGAGGGAGTTCTCGGGGATGGCAGTGGCCAGATCCTCATGCTCTCAGCCCAGTGCTTGGGTAGCCTGTTTCCCCCAGGAATCCAGTCTTTAGTCCACTCCTAAAGACTAGGTGGATTGGGGTGGTTGGAGGAGAAGGATCTGTCATCCCACAATCACTTATCACCAGAGTGACTGAGAGAATTGCAGAGAAAGGCTTGGTCTGGGGAGAGCCAGAAAGCACAGCCAGGGCCATGCTGGAGACCCAGGACTGAGGGAGCCTGGCAGTGATGTCACACACAACCCCTAACAAAGACCACCCATCCCAGGAAAGGCCAACTCAGTCTTTCCTCTCTCTGTTCACAGGGAGACTCCGGGGGGCCCCTCATGTGTAAGAACATGGTCCAAGGCGTTTTCTCTTATGGGAAAAACAATGGGACACCTCCAGGAGTCTACATCAAGGTCTCACACTTCCTGCCCTGGATAAAGAAAACAATGAAGTGCATCTAACAGCAGGCATGAAACTAACCTTCCTCTGGGCCTAACCATCTTCTCTGGTACTGAGGCAAGAATCCCATGGGGGTGGGCATTCTGGGTTGGAGGGCTGTAATAAATGGATCTCTAGCGTAAATATGACTGAAGTCTTATTTATTCATTGAACCATCTTCAAAATGTAACAGTGCTGTTCCAGGCAACTGTCTGCTGTCAGTTCTGGCTTTTGCTTCCTCCTTTCTCCCCCAGCTTTCTCTCTTCCCTAAACCTCATGCTGTACAGTTTTTTCACCAATTTCTCTATCATGTGTCTTTGATACTGAACCTTCTGTCAGAGCTAGTTTGGACTCCATTACAAACAAACAATCTTTACCACCTCACCACAAAAAAATAATAATAAACCTCCCTGGACCTTAGGAATTTCTTATCATCTCGAAACCAACCACCTGTTCCCCTAACAATGTGGCAGAGAATGGAGCAGAGAAATGAAAAGGAAATGACTCTAGGGACCCAGGAGGCCAGGGCCCATGCCATTAGCACCCAGTTTCCTATTTCCAGGGCTTGTTCCTCCAGGGGCAGGCAGGCTCCTCCCAAGCCAGGCCTGCCTGCAACTTAGGCCAAAATGCATCTCTGTCCCTAGGTCTCATTTCCCTGCCCTAGGCCCAGCACTGAACTCAGTCAACCTCCTTCCTTCCTGGCTGGCCTTCCCAGCTCCCTAGTGTTTTTTACTCAAGTGCCCTTGCCACCAGTTTCTTTCCCTTCTAGCTCACCCTGCTCTGAAGCCAGCCTCTCTCTCATCTCCCTAACAGAGTTCCAAGCTCTGTGTAAATTCTTCCCTACTGCTTATCCCAGCCTGGCCTGGGCTGTGAGCCCACCTGATGCTGATCAGAGGAGCCAGCTCTCACCTTCCACCTGGGCAGGGCTGACTGAGTCCCTCAGTCCAGCGCAGTGTTCCCCAGAGGCTCAGGCATCACCTTCTGTGGAGCCAGTCACGGCCTCAGCAGCCTCAGCATCACCACTCAGCAGCCTCAACCTCTTTCAGCCTGGCCTGGCCTCAGACCCAGACACCCCCTGTTGGCAATCTGGAGTTATGGCAGCTGTGCAACAGAAGGCTCCAGGGCTACTAGGCTGGAAGTACCACTATACCATTTATCAATAGACAAATCCTTCTGATCTCTCTCTTTGTGCCAAGCATCTAATAGTCTCTGTCTCTGGTTTTGGAAAACTTACAATGATAAAAAAAATTTCATATCAATTCTCCTGGTTCTTCTCCTTCCACCAGGCAGGTCAGTTTGCACAAATGGATCTGTATTTGTAATCCACAAGTCTTGTTTTAAAAATAATTAAATTCTCTGTATTCTACCTGTAGCCTCACATGCATGATCTGGTTTGATTCCAGGATAGTGTGTGATATTAGAAGAGACTTGGAGATTCTCAGGTCCTGAGGTTTTTAATCTATGCTCAGTGGAGTCTGTGTCCAGAGGTGTGGAAGTGTATTAGTCTGTTCTCACATTGCTAATAAGGACATACCTGAGATTGGGTAATTTATAAAGGAAAGAAGTTTAATTGACTCACAATTCCACATGGCTGGGGAGATCTCACAATCATGGCAGAAGGCAAATTAGGAGCAAAGTCACATCTTACATGACGGCAGCCAAGAGAATTTATGCAGGGAAACTCCCCTTTATAAAACCATCATATCTCATGAGACTTATTCACTATCATAAGAACAGCACAGGAAAAACTGGCCTCCATGATTCAATTACCTCCCATCGGGTCCCTCCCACTACATGTGGGGATTAGTATAATTAAAGAAAAGATTTGAGTGTGGGCACAGAGCCAAACCATATCAGGAAGGAAGGAGGAAGACAACCAGAGCAGCCTTATTTTTGTTTATATAGAAGACATGAACCTCAGTCCACAAACCTAAGAAATGCTACAGTTCAAGTGTGAGACAGTTAATATAATAGTGACCCTGTTAACTTTGTTTGGGATCCTTATCTCTCAAATAGTACCACTAGTGAGTTAAATGTGACAGAACCCTATAAACTCACAATAGCTGAAAACACTGAATCAAATGGGACTAACACTGAAAAAAGTAGAAACTTCACTGAAAAGAATAACAAATAAATCCCACACATGGGGAAAAAAATCCAGCACATTGAAAAATAAAATGAAAATGACACAAAGAAATAAAAAGACGTTAGAAATCATCATGGCAGAAGGGAGGCAGGACTAGATTGCAGGTCCAACTCACACAGACAGGGCAGCCTGTGGAGGTTCACACTGTGAATTTTTTCTCCATATCAACTACAAAAACAAACCAGCAACCCCGAAAGGACCCACAGACCTCTGAAAGAGCAAACTGCTCCTGCATGACCTGGCAGACACCCTAAATACTGTGAGTGCTCCAACTGTGGAGTTGAAAAGGGAAATCCTCCACTCCTGAACACACATTCGCACTGGAGAAACTGAAACTCTGTTCGTGGGAGAAGTGTTCAACCTTACCTGGCACTGAGTCAATTTAGAGAGTTGAGAGAAATACAGGGGTAGAGGAAGCAGCAGAAAGGCTCTCAGAGCTCACTGGGTCCCCAGGCAAGCCATTCCTGCCAGGTACCACAGGGATCCATTGGGAGGGTGGCCAGAGGAGCAAGGGGAAAACACCACAGGGAGAAGGAAAGCTCCAGATGAACTTTGTAACAATTTGAATGGGGCAAGAAGCCTCCTGTCCAGAAATCAGGGAAGGGCATGAATCCAGTGTGCAGACTCCACAGGCAAGGGAAAAACTGAAGCCCTTTTCTTTCACACCAGGGAAGTGGGTAGCCTGGGGCAAGTTCTCATGCCCAGCTCACCCATTGCCTGGAAACAGACTCACGGTTGTTAGGGGGGCACAGTGGGAGTCAGATTGGCCCTTCAGTTTGCATGGGAGCTGGGTGAGGCCTGTGACTGCCAACTTTCCCCCACTTCCTTGACAACCTGCATGACTCAGCAGAGATAGCCATAATCCTCCTAGGTACACAATGCCATTGACCTGGGAACCTCACCTCCATTCTCCACAACAGCCACAGCAAAACCCACCCAAGGAGAATTTGAGCTCTGACGCCTAGCCCTGCCACCATCTGATAGTTCTTCCCTACCCACTCTGGTAGCTGAAGACAAAGGGCATATAATCTTCAGAGTTCTAGGGCACTGTTCATCACCGGTTTCTTCCAACTACCACAGCTGATGCTGTTTGGAAAGCACTACTTCCTGGCAGAAGGCCAAGCCAGCACAAAAATAAAGCATTAAACCACCAAAGCAAAGAACTTTCATGGAGTCTACTTCACCCCTCTGCCACCTTCACTGGAACGGGTGCTGGTATCCTTGGCTGAGAGGCCCATAGATGGTTCATATCACAGGACTCTGTGCAGACAACCCCCAGACACATCCCAGAGCTGGGTAGACTTGCTGAATGGATAGATCCAGAAGACAGACAGCAATTGCTGCACTTTTGCTCATAGGAAGCCACATTTATAGGAAAAAGAAGAGAGTACTACATCAAGGGAACACCCCATGGGACAAAAGAATCTGAACAACCTTCAGCCCTAGACCTTCCCTCTGACAGAGCCCACCCAAAGGAGAAGGAACCAGAAAACCAACTCTGGTAATATGACAAAACAAGGCTCTTTAACAACCCCAAAAAAAATCACGTTTACCAGCAATGGATCAAGAATAAATACCTGATTTACCTGAAAAAGAATTCAGGAGGTTAGTTATTAAGCGAATTAGGAAGAAGCCAGAGAAAGGTGAAGCCCAATGCAAGGAAATTTTAAAAAATAATAATACAAGAAGTGAAGGGAGAAATATTTAAGGAAACAGATAACTTAAAGCAAAAAAAAAATCAAAAATTAAGGAAACATTTGACACACTTATAGAAATGCAAAAATGCTCTAGAAAGTCTCAGCAATAGAATTGAACAAGTAGAAGGAAGAAATTCAGAGCTCAAAGACGAGGCCTTTGAATTAACCCAATCCAACAAAGACAAAGAAAAAAAGAATAAGAAAATATGAACGAAGCCTCCAAGAAGTCTGGGATTATGTTAAACAAACCAACCTAAGAATAATCTGTGTTTCTGAGGAAAAAGAGAAATCTAAAAGTTTGGAAAACATATTTGGGGGGATAATTGAAAAAAACCTCCCCAATCTTGCTAGAGGCCTATACATCCAAGTATAAGAAGCAAAAAAAACACCTGGGAAATTCATCACAAAAAGATCATTGCCTAGGCACATTGTCATCAGGTTATCTAAAATTAAGAAGAAAGAATCTTAAGATCTGTGAGACAGAAGCACCAGGTAACCTATAAAGGAAAACCTATCCAATTAACAGCAGATTTCTCAGCAGAAACCCTACAAGCTAGAAGGTTTTGGGGCCTTGTCTTCAGCCTCCTCAAACAAAACAATTACCAGCCAAGATTTTTGTATCCAGCAAAACTGGGCATCATATATAAAGGAAAGATACATTCTTTTTCAGACAAACAAATGCTGTGAGAATTTGCCACTACCAAGCCTCCACAACAAGAACTGCTAAAAGGAGCTCTAAATCTTAAAACAAATCCTGGAAACAGATCACAACAGAAATTCTTTAAAGCATAAATCACACAGGACCTATGAAACAAAAATACAAGTTCAAAAGCAAAAACAAAAAGAAAAAAAAAAGTACACAGGCAACAAACAGCACGATGAATGCAACAGTATCTCACATCTCAATACTAACATGAAAATGGCATAAATGCTCCAATTAAACTACTTTAAATTTAATATGGAACCAGAAAAGATCCCGTATAGCCAAAACAATCCTAAGCAAAAAAAAAAAAAAAAAAAAAAAAAAGCTGGAGGCATCACGCTACCTGACTTCAAACTATACTACAAGTCTTCAGTAACCAAAACAGCATGGTACTGGTACCAAAACAGAGATATAGACCCATGGAACAGAACAGAGGCCTCAGGAATAATGCCACATATCTACAACCATCTGATCTTT